TGCACCTACTAGATGACAACGCAGGGGACTCATTGTCTGGCCTCTTCCGCCGGTCCTGAGAAGTCACGGGTGGGGGCATATTTTGTGTAGTAGCCGTCTTTCGAGTAAAGGGCTTGTTGTTGCGTGATACATGTGCGCCTATTGTGCATGACCTAAAACGATAAACTTGATTATGTGAATAGAGCATTGAAAAGTGGCTCTGTTTTACTTTCTCGCTATTGCATACGCAATAGAGACAGTGATGCAATGCTGCTCGAAAAAAAGACGAATTTTCAGCAGAAAATCGTATTACAGGGCCCTGGTAACAAAAAAAGGGGATAAATCCAGTTGCCAAATAAGGAAATAAAATCCTCTAACGCATGGTGTTACCAAAATCCATATTTCGTGAGTTCTTGATACCGAAAAATCGAATGATGGCAAAACATCTGTCCGCCTGTCCGTCCATCTGTGAACAACGCTAATGTGTGTGAACAACGCTAGTGTGAAGGACGTTTAAGAAAATGGTGCGGATCTCATGTTGATTGAAAACTGACCGTAGGAAGGGATGTTTTTCGGGAAATCGCACGAATGACATTATTGAATGCCAGAAGCCGCAAGGCATTGAATGTTGTGGCGTCATAAGGTCGGCCTCCCTGTATCAGAGAAGCATCTGCAAGGTATGGGGACGAAGGTAGCTAAAAATAACCACTAACAAAAAACCCAGCGCCAATCCAGCAGGATTCCCAGTAGAGGGAGAGAGCCTGGTGCCAGGATCAGCAGGGCCAGCAGACAAGCGTCGCTGGACTGCGCGTGGTCTATGTCGTAAGAAGTCACGTGGTTAGACACTATATGAGAGAGATTCGCGAATACACCCATGGGTAACGCTTCTGGTTTCATCGCAGCTGGACTGAAATACTTTCCGGCCATGCTGGCGGGGATGTGCTGTGCTCCGACGTACACGAGACTTGCTGGGTGGTCCTCAGTCGCTCACTCTTTTCTTGTGGTACAAATCCTACCCACGACCACACAATACATTAAGCTCTGTGCTGAGTCCAAATGTCCTGATGTGGAGCTGCCATTTAGAACTGTGTTCTGCAGAAGGAGGCGCGGAAGTGCATCTGCGAAGCAGTTGGAGAAAGTTTGCGGAAAGCGCCACAGCAGCGCCACTGTGTCTCTTTACCTTCATTTAAAATAGTGCATTTCAAGCAATTAAAAATGAACCGTAAGAACAGAAATTGGAATGAATACCTGCAACCGTCGTACATTCTTTATCTGGCTCTGTTGTTGCTTCCAAAACAAGACTGAATAAATACATGTAATGGTAATACAAGTGCATGTAGTGGTAGTGCAAGTAGTATAGTATAGATGAAGTGTAATGCAATGCAGTGCAGTGCAATATAAAGTTACATCAATTATCTGTATGACATAACCGAAGAAAGAAAAGGTGCAAGTGTTGTGCAGTGGAGTGGAGTGAAGTTAAGTGAATTCACAGAGAAGGTGAGGAAGTAATTCGTACGTTTAAAGAGAAATTTAAAAATCCACATTGTGATTTTGAATTTACTTTAGGAAAAGATGATAAGGAAAATAAATTATATGAATTATATGAATAAAAATTTGATTAGAAAAATAAATTATGAATGTGTTTCTAAGTGTATGCATGTTTATGATAATGTATATGTATATCTACGTGTTATGTCCAAAAAAACGTAATTTCTTAAAAAAATAGATTTATTCTGATCTCACACCAGAGCAGAGTAACCACATACAAGCTAGATCCAACAATTTTTCTGAAGATGTACCAGTGTATGCCAAAGTCGCCGTTGCCCAGGGAGATGTACAAAGTTAGTAGCCGTAGTATCGAAGTATCTGTCCGAGAGAGAGTCCGTACGCTTTGCTGTTCCGTCAACACTGTTTACAATTCACTAATGCGCTCGATACTGCTAGTAGGCGCTCAACTGTTCCTGCCCGCCGGGGCGCTGCTTTATAGCCCGCTGGGGCTGAGGGTCCGCTGGCCAGCCCCCGGATAGGGGTGGTGCCTCCTTTTTCGGTGCCTGGTCGCGCGTGACGGCGGCGCAGCCTGCTGTCGTCGCCCTCTTTTGAGCGGCGACGGTACTAGGATCCGGCGGTTCTTTCAATGGTGCTCAGTCGCACTAGGCATGTGTATCTAAGTGTATGTTTATTAATGTATTTGTAGGCGTGTATACTATGTAGGTCATGTGGGTGTTCGTGTTTTATACGTACGTGTGAGTGAGCATTTATGCAAAATATTGTGTGTGCATATGTACGTATGTATTTCAATGTGTATTTATGTGTAGTAGATGTAGTTGTAATTTCTTTTAATGTGTTGTATTGTAAATCGTGTTTACATTGTAATTGTCTTTGTATTGTCAATCTGATAAGTAAGCTTATGGTTACCAGCCAATTGTAGCCACTCGAGTGTACTGCTGAGAGGCTGTCCCAGTGTGAAGGAGCCCTCACGGTGCCCTCAGCGCTGCTGGGGAGCCAAGACCACTCGTCCACGACGAGCCTGGACAACCTGATGCAACCAGTGAGTGAGTGGCAATTGTAAATGAGAGTAATGTCAAATTGCGTACCTGTCTGTCACCTTGGTTTTTTCATGGAATGTGTTCTGTAAGAAAGAAGGAAGTTGTAGAAAATGCATAAATAACTTACTAAAATTTACTTACGTTTTATTTGCTAGTCTGGTAAAAATTGTTTGTGTAAAAGGGTAAATGTCTTGTGGGAGTAAAATGATTGTTGCTGGGTTGTGCAAAATTAATTTGAAGATGTTATGGTGACTATTGAAAAAGAAGTGCTGTGGTATCCTGTCAGTGGTTTCAGTGATGCTTATTAATGTCGCTGACTTCATTGTATGTTGAGATGGTAATACGATTCACATCAGAATGTGGGATTCTATTTTAATGTGTTTGGTTCAATAAAAAAATTCAAGTTTGATTTTAAGTACAGAGGAGATGTTAAAAGGTTCGATTATGCCAAGATAGGCAAATTGTGGTTGCAATATACTGAAAAGTTTTTCATGTTGAATGTGCAATTAATGTTTTTTTGTTTAAATACATTTTTAGGTTCAAGGGCATCTACTTTTTGGTGACTCAATGGCAGACTTGTCAAAGTAAGGTGGCGGAGGGTTATCCTCAGTTCCACATATTGATAACAATTATGACTTATGATCACATTCATCTACGCATGTGTGTAGGCCACTTTCAGCTACCATCGAGAGGAGGGGGCATCTGAATGGGCCCTATATACTTTAATAAAAATCCAAAATTGTATAGACTTCATTCTCGTATTGTTTTTATTTCAGGCGATAAAATCCGTGGGCCCAAGGGGCCACGTGTCTGAAATAATGATACTTCTAGCTTTTAACTCCTGAACGTGTTGGATTAGCGGGATGTACCGCATATTCCATTACTTAGCTGTGAACTTGGTTGTTCGTTAGACGTGCTTCTAGACTGTTAATACACTTGTGACCGTAATATGCAGCAGTATTTCATTTGGTACGTAATAAAATGTTGGCAAATGAAGGCATGCAATTAAAACATTACTTATTGTCTAACTTTTTAAATTAAAACACTTATACATTTTTAGATCCCTTTAGTACTATTCCAAAGGAATTAAACTTTTCATCAGGTATCTCATGCTGTATTTGTATTAATGTCAGAATGCAAAGTTAGTTGTATCTAGTCAGTAACTTGCAAGATTGACGCCATCTGCAAGAAATATCTGAATGGATTGTGGTAAAAAAATAGAAAATAACATTCGTAGTTGATAAGCCTTTTAATGGGATATATTTATATATGTATATACAAATAACTGAAATAAGTAAGACATGGTACAACGGAGACGGACCGCCAGCATACGAATATTTTGTACACCCAATTTGAAAATATAAACTTGCTCTACTTTCACAAGTTTATGACACTGTAGTCTCTAGTGTTATATTTTACAGTTATATAATATATATTATTTAACCGGTATGAAAAATCGATATGAATTATTGTATCTTATTGTATTGTTTCTTTGATTCATACTGTTCTGTTCACTTTGTAAAATATTATCTTTAAAATTTTGTATTAGGCTCTTACGGGTGAAGACCTTATGATGACTTACGTGTCTTAATGCCATCTATTTACTAGAAGATTCAATCTGGCATGAACAATTTGCCAGAGTGTATTTTGATTTACGAATACACAGCAAGACATATAGCTTCACAAAGTTTTGGAATCTTCTTTGTCTAAATTTGAAAATTTACGTAAACATCCATCAACTACTTTTCTTGTTATTTGTATTATGTAGACAAGTGGCGAGTAATTGAGTATATCAACAAATACTTAACACAGAATAGAAATTCGGTTCTCATGCGGCGATCATCTGGTCGTATGACAACCACTCTATACATAAAATAATACATATTCAATATTGTCCTCAAAGGCGCCGTATTCATGCCAGACGATCACAAAAATTAGTGTGTGAATACGTACTTCAATGCTATGTAGTACTGATTATTTTATACATTCATGATTCATTCATTTCCGCTTTTCATTTTCAAACTTACCAATATGCATAACTCTAATCGATTATGTACAACATCCACAATTTGTTTTTTTAGAATTGAACACAATGTTTAAAGAAACCTACCGTTCCTATGGTAGCCAACAAATACAGGAGACACCTGTACAATCTACGCAAGACGAAGCTCCAGACCCGAGCCACGAGTGGCAGTTGGAACATCGGGGATGGGGGACATTCATCAAAAACGGCTTCGAAACGAAACTCACAGGAGCTCTCTCGGAAAAAACCCATAGCACAATAAATTTCGAGCAAGGAATACAAAAATTCAGGGCGTACCAAAAGCACTGAACACGATCAAAAAATCATCCGCGTTTTCATTCGCACTGCTCTCCCGCGATACAATATTTTTTTTATGTGTGTGGTTGTTTGTTTTTTTTTTTTTTGGAAAATTTTTTCTTCTATATATATAAACGCAAGTGCTGTGACGCGGAGCGTCCGCGCGAGTGGCTTAGAGCCGGCGGCGTTGCCGCGCCAGCGCCCACGCGCCTAGGGCGGCGGCGGCCACCCGCATGGAGACTGCTTGCCGGCGAGCAACAGCCGCCCGCCCCGCCGCCGCCGCCGCTGCCGCGCCCCGCGCCGCGCGCCCGTCTGGCTGGCCGCGCACGTCAGCATGGTGACGCCCAGGGCGGGGCGCGCGCTGCGCGAGGCGGCATTATTGTCGTTGTGCGGGCGACAACGCGGCCCCGCGCGCGCCGCCCGCGCCGCCGTGCGTTGGCCCCGCCGCCGCCGCGCCCGCCGCCGCCGACGAGTCGCCCTCGTCGCCGTCCTCCTCGGCGCTGGAGCCGTCGCCCTCCTCCTCGCGGCCGCGCTCGCCCTTCTTCTTCTTCTTCTTGCGCGGCTTGTCGTGCGCCGAGGGCTTCTTGCGGGCCTTGTCGTGGCGCGCGGGCGCCGGCGCCGTCGTCTTCGGCGCCAGGTGCAGCTCTGCGCACACACACACGCGGCGGTTACGCACGGATCAAGTATTGCATGCCCTAGTCATTCAGGGACCTCACACTGCGAGGCGAGTGGGGCGTGACCAACGGTAGGTGACGAATGACGAGTGGCGAGTGTTAAGTAACGAGTATCGAGTGGCGAAGAACGAATGGCAAATACGGAGTGTCTAGTAGCGAGTGATGAGTAGTGTTTGACAAGTGACGAAGGAGGTATCTCAAAAGCTGAGTGACCAGAAGTGTGGTAAGAGTCTAGTTTCTATTGTCAAGTGTGTGTCGAGTGTCTAAAGACGAGTGGTGAACGGTGAGTCACGAGTCACGAGTGTAGAGTGTGGAGTGTCGAGTGATGAAAGTCAAATGGCGAGTAGTGAGTAACGAGTGATAAGTGGCGTATGGCATGTGGTGAGTGGCGAAAGGCGAGTGGCGAAAGGCGAGTGGCGAAAGGCGAGTGGCGAAAGACGAGTGGCGGGTCGAGAGGCAAGTGTTAAGCGAGGTGTGTGACAAGATATGCAACGCGCCATACATCTACGTCAAGAGGATTGCATTCGCAGGCATTATGTTTTTTATGAGGTAATTTTATAAGACAAATTCATAATGTAAGGAAACACATTGTTGTACTGCAGTTAGATGAGCAGATTCAGACATTAAATGTAAAAAAGCGCGGCGTGTTTGTTTTTATGAGCAATAAATAATTTCTTTACTGTTTTGGCCTTGAAAGATTAGATTCCCGGAAAAAGTAATTATTACCTTTTTTTCATTTTCGTTGCAGACTGTATAATTGATTGTTTTTTCGGCGCTTCTTCGAAATGTCCTCAGCGCTTCGATTCATTTGAAGCACAAGATTCTGAACGTTAGAACAGAAGAGGGATCGTCAAGAAATTGCTGTGCAGAAACAAGGCGTTCCTCAGAAAATGCCATAGGAAACATTAGTTCATCTAATTGTGGAGAATTTAGTGTTTTTTCACACAAAATCACTTATACTATATATGGGATTTTAATTCGGAGGGGGTTGAAGATATTAACTTTTTGCCCATAGGCATGTGAAAAGTTCTATTATTGAAGTTACACTTGTTTCTTATTGGTAAGCAACACATTACGTGATGGTAGCAATCCCAACTCACGTTTACTCGCACATATTCAGGTATAGCCATATTTACTTACATCTTCACAAGTCCATTCACACTCACTACATTTATATCAACGACATCCACACAAGCATCCTTTTACAATAATTTACATTAACCCAAAGATACTTCCACAATCATCAACATACATTCAAATTCACAATATTTACACCTCACACATTTTTACGCTACATTTAACAGACTCAATTCGAAGGTTAGCGGGTTCGACTCCAGCCATGGGCATTGATGTTTGCATAGCCTAACAGAGTGATATTTATTTCTGTTTTATCCCCATCCTGAAACGATTGTGCGTGAGGTCAGAGTAAGGGGAGGATGCACAAAGGGTCTGGGGTTGCACATCATCTTTCCGTCAACTTATGTCTCTAACCGCTAAAAAGGTTCTAAACGTCTCTATGTGACTATGTATTGTAGTGGCAGGTCAGTGCGGGCCACGAAGGTTATATGGACCCCTGGAGCGCGAAAGTATTAGAGACTGTGTTCCCAGAGTGTACAACGACATATAGAAATACCGAGGGCGTCAATGTAAAACTTAACAAGTACACCAACGATAAAGCAAGCTCTGTGATTTCCCAGCTAACACATTTATCGAGTTAACCCAGTTATATTTACAGAAGCACGCATACTTCCCACAAAATTCTCACCAAATTCACACCACGCAAACACATTTCATTCACACGCCCACATTCCTGTGCATCGCGAGGCGAGGGAAGGGAAGGGGGCGTGTCTCACCTTGCAGCCGCACGTCGCCCTCCACCTTGCCCAGGGCGTTGACGGAGGCGCACATGTAGCGGCCGAAGTCGCGCTTCTCCAGGCTGCGGATGGTGAGCTTCATGAGCAAGGCGTAGTCCGACAGCGGCGTCTCCTCCATCTCGTACTTGCTGCCCTCCATGAGCTTCTCGCCTGCCACAAGCGCCGCGCCCGCGGTCAACAGCGAATCTACGCAGTGGAACGGTAGAATTGCCCGTGTCGGACGCTTACAGGGTCTACATCAGGGCCCTATAACTCTCATATAACGTGGTGGGGACCATTACAGTGGCGCGCTCTAAAACATCACCTCACACGAACTAAAATACCAACTGCTACCAACGTTATTAAAAACATGCTTGGATTCTCGGGACGCAAACACACGGGCTTGATGCAAAAGATCGCGCCGCTGTTCACGCTACCTTTTCTTTCGTGCGTGTATTATTATGAATAAATGAATTTTAGAAGATAAACACATGGTATTTAACTTCTTTTATAATTTATTTCAGAAATCACTCATAATCAAAGTGTATTCGTATTCGTTACCAATTTTTATGTGCGAAAGTAGGCGCGCCATACCAGCAGCCGTATCCGGCGACCCTAGCGCATCCTATTGTAGCAACCTCTAGCTTTGTCCCCAATGTTGATTGAGAGTTGCCGGGCCCTGGTGTACATGTCACACGATCGCGGCCGTATCGAGCAGTGCTGGCGATCATGCGACATCTAGCGGCACGACCGAAAAAGACGCGAAATATCGTGAGATATTCCATCGCGAAGACAAGGCCTCAAACGCCAAGAAATAAAAACTCAAGTATGTACTAAATATACCAAGCTCTGGGAGGGATTCCTAGTAGTATGTTAGTGGTTTAATTGAAAAGAAAATCCATTTTCTTTCTTAATTTCTTTATTTCTTGTTCGGCCAGAGCTTGAATACAATTTTATTAAAAATAACATTACGGTTTTTGCACCATCGTTAATTTTTAACTCATTTGTATCATTAATATTGGAAGTATAAGATAGGTATTTCATTTATTAAAATTTTGATCTTAATTAAATTATTTCTCTGGATAACAATAATAATAATACTACTGGACACAATTTATCTTTAGGAAATTTGATTTCATTCTGCTTTGGACCACAACATTACGGCCTAAATTAAGTTTCTGAGTTAAAGGAAACAAGTTAAGTGAAAAGAAAAATTGTTGAGATACTGTCAATATATAATTTGTAATTGAATATACAAATAATTCTCTATGAATTTGAAAATCCTTGAGTTACTGCTATTTCGAAATGACGCTACACCCGCAGTGTCTGGAGTGAGCCAAATCAGGGGCTCATAATTTAAAAAAATGGTAGCAATCAGACAGTGAAACAAGTGAGGGGGACAATACTTTCCGTATCTGTTAAGATTGTGGTGAGGAGATAATTTCCGTTTTCATTTGTGGCAAGATGCAGTTCGTGCTACCAACATAATTTCTGTTGCTATCATCTAACTAGCCTTTGGTGCCACTACGGAGAGACGTTCATGGCCATCAGTGTTTTTCGACGCAAAGGTCAGAGTTCTGCATTCTGTGAAAAAGACAACCGCTCACTACCGATCGGCTATCTGCCGCCCAGCAGGGTACCTTCGAGCGCTTCCTGCGATCGGGTGCCTCCGATCGAGATCGGTTCGGACGCAGCGATCGTTGAAGGTCGCTCTCTACTCTGCGCGTACGTGTCTGTGATCTCATTCGCATTTTTGCACGACGCTGGAATGGGCTTTTGGCAGTGATGCATCACTGCAGTGATGCGTCGAAGTGTCCATGTGTTGTTAAATATTGCCATCACTACTTCCGAGATTCACGAGAGGCGTTAGTGGAAAGCGCCTTCAGGTCTTAATGCTCCCTCCCACAGACCGGCGCGGAACATTCGCGGCGAGTGCGGCGCGGAAAGTTCCGCGCTAGGTGCGGCGACGAAATCCGCGGGACTGTTCACACAAGAGCGTCAAAATATTCGACATCTGACGAGTCTTTGCTTCGGTTTCCATAGCGAAACTCGAGCGGCAGTTCTGCGCGAAGTGAAGGGAGCACGACCCTGAGGGGAGCGAAAACTCCCAAAGGCGGGTAGACTTCTTCGAAACTCGACAGGCAGCGGAAAAAAACGCGCCCGACTGTGTTGCAAAATCCGCTGCGGATTAAACGTTGCAAATGTGCTGCCGCGACGCTCACCTGCCGCGCAGGTCTGAACGTGCTCATAAGGCAAAACCTGACGCGAAACTTCCGCTTGCCATTCCGCGAAGGCTGCGGATCTTCCGCGCCGGTCTTTGGGAACCTTTACTCCGTGACCCGCAGCGGCGGTCGAATATTTTTCGTAGAATGCAGAGTTCTTGTAAAGACTGAAACCAATTCCTCTAGTGGATTGTGATTTTACATCTCGAATAAAATGTTTCAATTTTTAACCGAACCACTGCAGCAGGGAAAACAAGTTGGAAATTACATTTACTTCAATTAAAACTTTTCTTACTTGTTTGAAATCATTTTTTAGAAAATACATTTTCTGTAAATGTTTGAAATTTTTTAAACAATAACCTCATATTCTTCAGTGTTAGCCATCCAATACCTTTCAGTTTCTTTTTTTTGCATCAACTACAATAAGCATTTAATAGGAATTCAGCCCCCAGGCCAAGTGCTTCAAATAGCGAGTATGTAAAGAGTACGTCATGTACGTACATTTAATAATTTTAGAATTACAAATTTAGAATTTTATTTCAAATTCACTCACTTCCATTAGAAAATATTAATGCGGTAAGACTTAATTCGGTAAACTTAAATTACCTAAACAGAGAGCTAGTTCTGATGGATTTGATCTAATGCTCAAAGAAAAAAGGGGTAACTAAGTCAAAACCCCTTGTTATTATAACTATTAATTAATTTTTAATTAATTAATATAATTTTAATTAATTAATATAATTTTAATTAATTAATATAATTTTAATTATAACTGTCTCAAAAATTGAAACAGGTATACTTTTACAACAGATGTGCGAACTTACCTGTATCTCTGTACCAACTGTTCATTGCTTTGGGTGAAGCCTCCACGTAACATTCCAGAAGAACATCACTGGTCACAGGGGCAGCAACGAGTTGATTGGAAACTTTGATAAGAGGGTGAACTGCAACAAAAACATCGTGCTTCTATCAATATTCCAGAATTAGATATGCCTTATAAACAAAAACAAACCACATATGAAGTTCGCGAGAATTACGGCAATTAGCATGAGATAATTGTGAAGAGAAGTTCTAGCTCGTATTTTAACTTGATTGATATGATTAAGCCATGCATGTTTTTCTGTATCATAACACGAGGTCACACATCTAGGTCTTGACTAACTTCATTCTACTATTTCATTTTACTTTAGAAAAAAAATTTGTTTTTGCAAACACAAGTCCACGTATCAGAAGAAAATCTTACAGATAAAGCATTGAATGCATTTCAAGAGATGAATTGTTTCAAATTGACTAATGAAAGTACTGCAAAACCAAGGTTGATATTTCCAGAGAGTGACATGTCTAACAGCTGAAGTAAACACAAAGAGGGCTTCGTCATTACTGCAAATTCTATAATCGGTGATATGGTTTCTAGAGAGTCTATTGGTTTTAATTACCACAGCATGGAAGATCCATCGATTACCTGGTGATTACAAACACTTATTAATCATTTAGGAAAATCTGAAGTTCTTCCGCAGAGTTATGATATCGTCTGTCTCAGGCCTTTGAATACTGTCTCTTTGAAACCCGTCTCCATCCAGGATGCTACTGCTTCCTCAACGGGACTCATCCGCAAGCTTATGTGGAGGCATGCGCCGTCTTTCATTTTACTAATTGGCCATTTTTGTCCCGACCGACAGAAAGCGCGAGTGTATACCCACCCATCTCTCCAACTCCCCTTCTTTACAATACTCTGCAATTGGTCGCATACGCTTCTGTCCACCGCCACAGCTCACCACTGCCCGTCGCTGCTCGCCATCGCCCACCAGACCGCCCGCCACGTCACCCACCACACCGTCTGCCACAGTGCCCGCCACACTGCTCGCCACACTGCCGCCACATCCCAACTTGCCCACACTGCCACGCCACCGCCGCGCCACTGCCTGCCACCCCGCCCCGCCACAACACCGGACGCCACACTGCTGGCCACACTGCCCGCCACACTGCCGCCACACTGCCCGCCACACTGCCCGCCCACCTGCCCGCCACACTGGCCGCCACACTGCCAACCGCTGTCCGCCACTACCTGCCACACCACTGCCACATCGCTTTGCCCCACAACGCCCCCCACACTGAATATGCCCATACACATCCCATCTCGCGCCCCACTTTTTTTTTTTTGGACGGGTGCCCCCAACCTCTCGCCCCCCCGCCAACCAGGGGGTTTTCCGCCACACTCCGCCACTACCTACCATCCCGCCCCTCCACGCTCGCCAGAGCCGGCCAAGGCCCGTGACTGCACTACATGACCCTCACATCGACCACCACCCCCACTGGCACCAACCCACCTCCTAACCACCCACGCGTTTCCCCGTGCTCTCCCCACCCGCCGCTACTGCCTTGTTAACTAATAAGATTACCGAATCTCGGGCGGCCGCCGTCCCGAGGGCTTTGTACCAATTAGAGCGCGCGCCGGGCCGGGCAGCTGCGGTCGGCGCGAGGAGCAGGCGCGGGGCCCGCCGCGCGTCTTTTTCGGAAGCTGCGCGACGAACGCGCCTCGCCCGGCCTGCGGCCGCCCTTAGAGCGCGATTGGAACGAGCGCCTTCTGGCGGCTGCAGTGTGTTGGGTGGGAGCGCAGCGACGGCAGCTGACGGTGGCGGTGGCGGTGCGGTGCTGGTGGCGGTGGCGGCGGCGGCGGTGGTGGGTAGTGGTGGTGGCGCTGGCGCGGTGTTGGTTGTGTGGTGTGATTGGGTGCTAAGGATAAGGCTATGGCGGGGGTGGGGGGGGCGCGGCTGGCTGGCGGGTAGGTGGCGGCGTGTGGAGTGTGGTGGTATAGTGGCGTGGGGGGCGGCAGGGGTGACTAGTGAGCGTCGCGTAGGGGTGAGAGTGCGGCGGTGGGTGGCGTTTGGGTGGCGGGTTGTGCTGGTGATAATAATGGCGATGGCTGTGTGGCGAGGATGGGCGGTGGGCGGGAATGTGGTGGCCGCAAGTGATGGCGCAGGTGGCCGGTAGGCGTGGACGATGAATGTGTCGGTAGAGACGGCGGAGTTGATGCGGCGGGGGGGGGGCATTGGTGATGAACGATAACAGTGGCGGCGGAGGTAGCAGCTGGGGTGATGGCAGAGGTGCAGCGATAGCGGAATCGGCAGGGCAGAGAAGTTCCGGAGACGGTCATATAGACGAGAAGATTTTTCTGCTGCGAGGTTGCTGCTGCTAGTGGTGAAGGCAGCAGCGACGATGGATGCCTTTGTGACAGGGGTAGGAAGGGAAGCAGCGGGTGTTGAGAGAAAGACAATGAGGTGTGTGTGTGTGTGTGTGTGGGGGGGTTCAACCGTCAACCGGGGGATGACGCCGTCCATGGCGGTGGCGGGAGCCACGGCGACGGGACGGACCAGACGGCGGGAGCGGGTGCGACGGGGACGGCGGCGAAGGAAATGGTGACGGTGATATTAGTAGACCAGGGGCGGCTGGAATGATGGTGGCAGTGGAACCGCAATGTTGTGCGATGGCAGTAGGGGCGGAGTGTATCACAGCAATGGAAACAGCGATGGGTGGGGCAGGAGACGACGAATAATACAAGACTATGACGGAGATTGTGGGGGCCATGGTGACGGAGATTGTGGGGGCCATGGTGACGGAGATTGTGGGGGCCATGATCGCGGAGATTGTGGGGGCCATGGTGACGCAGACTGAGGCGGCGGTGGCGACGACGGTGGGACGGAAGCCAAGACGACAAAGACAGCAGCGGAGGCGACGGCGGCGGAGAGTGCGTTGGCGGGGGCGGCGTATGCACGGAAACTTTCTGTGCGCGCACGTCAGAGGACAGGCGCCTGGGGCGTGCGTAAATCTTGCGGGGAGTAATTTGTAAATTTCCTCGAACTATGTGTCTGGAAGCTTGTGTCGGAAGAACGGTTGAGGTGCACGAAAGTCGGGAGGTAGATGTAATACCTCAGAAGGTTACGTCGTTACTCTTGAGGATTAGAGATGAGGATCAAGAAGACCCAATTTCCTATATGTCAGAGAGATATCTACGCCGAGGTGCAGCTCAGACTTGTTTTGTTTCCCGCAAAGACAGTTGTGCCCTAGATTTTTAGTCTGTTTTTTCTTCGATTTGTGAATAACAAGGTACAAACTACTGATGCTCCCGGACAGAAGAAAATTTAAAATCACAGCGAAACGGCGTAAATCGAAATTTTAGCCAAATACAGAAAATGAAGAAATATCTTTTTGTAGATTTATTATTCAAAAACTTACAACGTGACTTTCTGCAGAATGAACAAGAATGGCCGAATTTTACGATAGCATCGCGAGGACGCAGTAAATTATGTCTAAACCTTCATTTCATATTTTAATATGCAAAAAAAAAAAATCCCTTCGGGTGGCTCATGGTCCGCGAGCTATCTTCCTTGGAGCAGTCCCGAGTTCGATTCCCAGAGCCGGAAAAATAAAGCTGTAGCTTTCTGAATCAATCGTCAGTTTATATAGCCGTATGACGGAAGAAGCGCTCAGGCAGGCTGCGCTAGATATGGTTAACGGGAATACGTGGAGCTCACCACATGTGTCTCTTATTCCCTGGCGCTAATAATACATAATTAAGAATCAGGGCCCAGGCCTGGGATCACGGTTAGCTGGCACACGACGAATTAATACTATCCTACAATGTCAAATACATACAATCATTCTGAAGAGTGGGTAATTATGAAAGCGTAGTACGAAGGTGATAAGTAAGAGTGATGAAGCTTTAATGAAATGAGAGACAGTGAGAACGCGAAAACTCTGTGAAAATCGACTGCGAACCCGTTTTGGCCACCTTCAATTCCACATGAATCAACTCCAGTCACTGTGCTGGAAAGCGAGCAAACTCCCCGCTACACCATGAGTCGCACTGATAGAGCACAGAGCGCCGCGCTCCCTTCCCTTACCCAAAAGAGGAGACTCGGAGAGACCGGAAGTAAACTGAGTGATGCGAACAGCCGATCGCCGATCGCCGTTCATTCTTGAATACACTTTTTTCAAGCTTGGGGTCTAAAGGTAAAGAAACCCATCCACGCAAAGAAAATGGTGTCAATTTTATCAGTATCGTTTTACTCGTCCGCGCAAACGAGAGTCTGCGACCAAAGTTATGAGTAAAACTATCCCAACTGAGCGGTTGAGTTTAGTCCAGAGCCAGCATTACCGCTGTGTCAGAAGCGACTGACGGGGAGGTCCTAGGACTCAAGTACCGACGGTGGAACATTTTTGGCGCTAACTGGCTCGAATGGCTAGGTCGAATTCAGCCGCTGTCGGCACGAGAACAGCTATTCTCCTACCGACGAATTCTAGCAACCGACTGCTCTGATTGACAGTGTACTGTGGATTCTTCAATCAATCGAAGGTGAATGCCGGAGCAATACCGTAATAACCGGGAAAAGGATTGCGCGAGATGTTTCCTTCCTCATCCTTGTCTATCCTTTTCCCTCACACACATGTACATGCACTCGTCTTTCACGCATGTCGGGAGAGCAGTCGGTATCTCAGAGCTTGTCCCAGCTCGCGCGGTGCTCCGTTGGGGGAGATATCTGGAGAGAGAGTTGCTCACGGTACAAAGTTACTCACTCACCCGAGCATCACAAACAAGAAAACCAGGAGCCGGCGGGTTCGTGTCCTCTCGTGCACCCGCGTGTCGGCGGGCGCAGGCGATCGTGGCCGGGTAAAACGGACCGGATATAATGGTCGCCAATTGCGAGCGCGCGGTGGGTGGTGCGGAGCGGAAGTGGCCGCCGACGCGGGCGTCGGCGTCCGAGGTGAACGTGTCGGCGTCGCCGCGAGGTGTCGAGTGCCGCGAGGCGGGGCGGGGCGGGGGGTGGCGGCGGGGGGCGGTCGCTGCGGTGGGCGTGTTCACGCCTCTGCACTGTCAACGCGCCCTGCGCCGCCGCCCCCTCTTGTGGGTCGGCGCTCGCCCGCGCCAATTAGCGGCGCTCGTTAGGCGGATGCGGGTGGGGGGCTGGGTAAGACGGATCATGGATCATGTTGTGGGTAAAGACAGTAGAATTTGCAACGTTTTGTTAAGCGGTGGAATCTCTACCCCCTCTCTTTGCCACTCATTGTTGCAGTATGAATAAAAACAATTATCTGGCGACGTTTATCAGCTGCAGTTTTACAGTTGCTGGTGAAATTTATTAACAACGGTTTCGTAAACATATAGTTAGCATGTCAGGCCATGAACGGGTTCAGGCCTACCGGCGTCGTCCCTAACTCACGGTTCTCAGGTAAGAAGGTACGTATGATTAGGACGTAGACATCCCCACGCCGTATTCCGCTCTTCTCAACCTGAGAAGGGAATTTTCTCAACGCCACACAGCAACTTATACTGGGACATTGCAAGGAACACGCACACTATAGTAGCCCTGCAGTAACGGGGGACGGATGGACAGTCTAACGGAAAGGCGGAGAGACAGAAGGTCTTTCGGACGGACGCAACGTCCGTTTAGTAATTTATAAAATAAGGATCATTAGACATCTTATTAAATATGATAATGGAGAATTATCAAACGAGGACGTAGTCGAGTTGAGCATCAATCTAGTAATGCTGCACTGTGAATATTGTACAACGTTTTATTACTAAAGTTTCACTTTAGATAACCAAAGTGGAAAATGAATTCTTACAGTCTGATGTTCCTTAACATACAATGGAAATAAGAATTGTAGCAAAAGATGGCGTATGAGGACTTCTACTTCAAGAAAAATAATTTTATTTTATATGATTTTTTAAAATAATTTATTATCATAAGTTACAAAAAACGCACAGACGATAAGACAATGAACGAACTTGCTTATCAGTTTACAAACTTTAAATCACATCCGTTATTTCCTCAATTTCTTCATTATGATGTCGATAACTGATTCATTTATTCCAGAAACCATTCAGACGCCCAAATAAATTTTTTTAAAGATTATTCTGCTAAAAGGGTGTATACAAAACTTCAATAAAAACTCGTCAATAACAATTATTGAAAAATCTACTACTCTTTTAAAATAGTTAAAACCCTTCCAAAAAATTAGTCTGATGACAATTTTTTTCTTTTCCCCGAAATTGACAAATTTAGAACTAGTCTGGTTTCTGAATTAGGTTGATTGATTGATTTTTAGTGATTCCGGGCGCGTCAACTACTATGGTCATTAGTCCCGTACGTGTTGAGCATGTATTACTCGGGAGGTGGCGGTGGTCTTCCCTATTCCTCTATGGCGAGATCCCACGTCCATCTACCGTTGTCTAGCGGGGTTTTCTTTAACTAGATATCTCCCACCAACGGGGCACCACCCCGGCCGGGACAAGCCCTAAGCCCCCGACCGTTCTCTCGACATGTGTGGTTGTGTAGTGCATGTTAGTGTGTGTGGAAGTACGGGGTGAGGATAGGACAAGGAAGAGATACGAAAGATCGTGCGCGGCCCGATGCCCGTTAGTTGGGGTACTGCTTCCGCATTTGCTTGGTGTTGATCGTAGAAACCACGGAAAACTACCGATCAGAGCAGCTGGAATTCTTCTCCAGACAGCAACTGAATTCGATCTGGCGGAGAAGCTAGTGGCGGAAGTCCTTCCGCCGTCGAGACCAGAACCTAGGTCCTCCCGGTCAGAGGGACTGCAGTGACATCATTGATGCCCTGAGCCATCTCCTCCAGTTTCTGAATTCAAATTCAATTCAATGATGCCTTATTTTTCGTGGCAAGACTCAGGTCACCAGATAAGCTTTTTCGTTTGACCATGCAAAATTCGCTACTCTTTCACCATCTAGTGGAGAAAGAAGGTATCGCGCGAGAAAAACTGGCGATTTGAATTTAGCTCAGTGGTTTCTTTTAAATTTGAGGATCTTTATCATGCAGTAAATTTACATCATGGGACATCCACCTTTACTTCCGCAGTCTTGCTCTCTTAAAAAATACTCGGTTTCGATCTGACTTGAACCCGCAAACCTGGGTAAAACGGCTCGATATACTAACCGTTAAACTACCAATAACGCTTCATGGAATCTCATCGTCTACTGGACAACCAAGTATCTATTGACGGTGGGCGGTCACGGTGGCATTTGTGAAATGGGGGCCAAAATGAAAATGCAAGTTTAACCTATATATAATTCGGAGACCGATCTAGAGAAGGGCATACGTAAATTGGAAACCGACTACCTCATCCCCTTCCAGGAACAAATTTGCTACCTTATTTTAGGAGAACATTTTCGTAGCCATTATTTTTCAAAAACCACTCTCTTATCAATTTTCTAGACTCAAGATTGGCATATTTCTTTAGAGATGTGGTTTGGTTGACGTGGGTTTACATTCAATTGAATCATTCGTTAATTAAATGAATCTGCTTAACATGCCATTTTTATATTATTCCCATTTCTCTACTAATATTCTATAACACTGATTATGAAATTTTCACACTCCAGTGCATTCTTTACTTTTCACTTTGACATAGGAGCAAGTTTGGAAGATATTCCACACGCCATAAAGAAAAGCTAAGCAGTAGAATGGCCCCCCCCATATGCGCTTACCTGTTCAATCAGTAATTTTCCCTACCTGGGTTTGATTGGTCTCCAGTTTTCATGTAGAATTAGAAACTAAGTTTCGCGAGAACAGATAAAGGAATTACTTGGTTCTCAATTTACATGCAGAATTAGAAAGTAAGTTTCTCGAGAACAGATAAAAGAATTACTTGGTCCCCAATTTACATGTAGAATTAGAAACTAAGTTTCTCGAGAAAAGATAAAGGAATTACTTGGTCCCCAATTTACATGTAAAATTAGAAAGTAAGTTTCTCGAGAACGGATAAAGGAATTTCTTGGTCCCCAATGTACATATTGCCGGCCGCAGAAGCGTGCGCTCTGACTGGTACTCACAGTGCACCTGCACGATGAAGCGCTTGGAGACCGAGGGCGGCACGCCGTTGGAGGCGATGCACAGGTACGCGCCCATGTCCGCGCGCTGAATGCTCGACAGCAGCAGCGTCTCGCCGTCGAACGTCTTCGCCGCTGCAACACACGCACACACACGCTGTCAGAACGCCACTCAACATGCATTTGTTCAGCTTTCTCCGCGATTACACGTTCACGCAGATCATCAATTACTGAATTCCAATGAAATTGAAAGACAACCATGCCTTCGGCCATGTGAGAGGTGTCTACGGTTTTGTTGGATATCCAGGCATTCAGGAAAAATACAAAAACAATGAAACAATTTCTATTTGGACTGAAAAATGCATGTAATTTTGCTATTCCATCTGTTATCATACTATTATTGCTCGTACCGAAATTTTCATAATCAGTGTTGAAGGCTTACTATACAGCTGACGTCACGCGACAGCATAGCTTTCCAATCTTTATAAACGAGGTCTCTAAACAAAAATTTTACACAATATCCCTATACAAACTCTCCATTCATTACCCCTTCATGAATTTTCTCTAACAACAAACTACTCAAATAAATATAGATAAATAAGGTTTGGTGAAGAAATGTAGAAAATATTTTATGCAATTCATGGACGGTAGCATTGTTGAGATATGTTATAACAGTAATTTGCTGAAATAAGTCCTAATTCGATGTTCATATTAACATAATATTTTAATAAAAAATATATACTTATTTCAACGGTGTTTAAAATATTATATTCACAAATATTTTTCTTGCTTTACATTATAATTTCCTGAAGATGAAGAGAAAAATATCTCTAGACTTTGCTCCAACGAGAAAAAAAACGTATACAGGAACCTGTCTCAAATATACAGGAACCTAAGATCAATAAATATGGACAAAATCTACTCGCTTACAAAACAGGCAGAGTCAAGCAAGAGTTCAGAAAGAACTCGCGTTCCGTAGAATTCCGCCGATTACGACCTAATAACGCAAACACTCACCAGAGCGAAGGCATGGCCGCATGTCAAACAAAAATCATACTACACATATCTCTCAGCAATCAGTTTTAACCTATTGCTTCCATTACATAGTCCCACAATTTTTTTTTTAATTCTGTCTTCCAATCTTTTTTTCGGAGACGATTACAAATGTCATTTTTTAAAACATTAATGAGAAGCATCTTTAATGTACACTGTTTTTAATGTAAGGTATTGAAAGTAAATGAAATACGTAATTTATGTAAGTAATTCTGAATCCGCACGTAATGATTTGACGAAGAATGCTTGGTGCAGTCGAATACAATGTGACCACTACCATTCGGCAAATGAAATGGCTGAATGCCAGTCACTCTCCCTGTACCTTAAAGAGTCAGCCGCTCATAGAGAAAGTAAGAGACAGCAGGAAAAAGCTTCGCTTTGCCGATTTTCTTGCTGAAATATTTGGAAAACTCTGTCTGCTACTATTTAGCTTCCTACATGAAAATTGACTTTATATTATAGCCTGCGGGGTGAGGGTTACGCTAATTAATACGACTTTATTTATTAAACTTTAATAGTGTAAGTAGCTGACGTTTTGTGATGTTACAATAGAATAAGTATGTATAAGTATGTATAAGTATGTATAAGAAAATAATAATGGTGTGTTAAGGTATTACAATGTTCAAGAACCCTAAAGCTCAATGTAAACTAGAGAAATATATAAGTCAAAACAACGGAGTAATAAATGAATGTGTAATGTGTAAATAAATGTGTGTGTGTGTATGGGTGTATATATGTGCCATAGATGTATACAGGTCTGTGTATGTTTATATATTGAGTGTATATGCTCGAAAGAAGTGTGTTGTAAATTGTTTTTATATAGTAAATGGTTTTTGAATTATAAATGTTCATATATTGTAAAACTGTAGGGTTGTGGCTACCACCTGGCAATCAGCCAATTGTAGCCAAAATAATCCTTTTTTAAACTGAAAATTACTTAAATAATTATTAGTTTATAAAAAATTAATATCTTAAAACTCACAATTTCATTGTATTTATAACTCACGAAGACATTTAAAAATGTGCACCATTAAAGTACTTTACGTTATTCAACGTACAGTAATAGTAAGATTCCTTCTTATATATCTTTACATGATTTGAGGCAGAATTTCATTCCTATTGTTCCACGATCGAACACAATCTACCATAGAAACATTTCACAAAATTTTTCACATTGTATCTGAATTTTAAATCGTTACGACGAACAAAGAATGATGCAGATGAGAAGTAATTATGATTACAATAGCTCTTTCGGAAACAAAAATAACCAATTGCGGCCATAAAGTCTACAGAAGAGAGCGGTGAATGCGGCGCTGTGTCTACTCTCTGTGTGCCAGGCCAGACCAGCGGCCAGACTGCCTGCTCCCAACAGAAGTTTCGAATTGTTTCTTAATACGCTCGTAAAAGATTCAGTTCCACACTTCCCATTACGGAGGCCAATAAAGTGAAAACTTTCAAAATTGTTTTCCTAATATTCCGTATTTCTAATAAACGACATATTAACGCGCTTTATGGGCCTTCTGTGTCGTTTGCTGGGAGCGCGGGCGGTGGGGCTGGAGATGTAGGCGATGGCGGCGGTAGCTGCAACGACCACGAAGGCGGGAGGTGGAGTTGGTAGCCGTGGTGGAGTCGCTGAAGTGGAGGAGGTGGAAGAGAGAAAGACCAGAGGTGGGAGAGGAGGCGAGAATGGGGGCGGCGGTAGAATAGATGGAGCTTTGCCGCGTTCACTGTTCACAGTTGTCGGAAATTACATTTCCAAAGGGCATGCCATCGGAGAACAAAAAAAATATCAAAAATCGTCATTTTTGTAGATACGTGAGAAAAATGTTTAGAAAATAATATAATTTTGCCAGTTAACAAGCCATAAAATTAGTTTAGAAGACAAACATGCAGTGGCTCAGAAGAAACCTCACAACCTTCTAGAGCATGTTTGGGGTTTCGAAAATGAATAATTTAAGCTAATAAACATATAGTGGAAAATATATAACAAAGTTACCCATGTGACATTTTCACCTGATAGGTACGAAAGATCACCCATTGATGTTTGGTAGGTATTTTAAATGTCTTTGACTGCGAACTGATACCTGCCGAACGCCAGTACACGGTGTTACCTACCAATCAAGGGCAAATGTCACATGTTCCACTTCCTAATATATTTCTCACCACATGCTCATCGGAAAAATGTGATCATCATCGACCTCACACAAGCCCTAGAATTATTTTGTAACTTTTATTCTGAGAGATCTGGTATTACGAAATAAATAGCTCTGTCCACGATAAAACCGTTCTCCTGAAAAATGACAAGTTCTGAAATGTATCCTGGGCACCGACGATATATTCTAGAAAATTGTAGGAATTTCAAGAATGAACCTCGCATTGAAATACGGAAATAACTGGCTGACGGCTCATTTGTTGAGTTCTGACATCAAAGTGAATCACTTTTGGAGATAAAACAGGTTTTTGTGCACAATGGAATGAACAAATTTATTTATTCAATCACTTTATGGACAAACGCATCGTACAATGATGACAAATATTGTGTTTCCGTAATGTCCAGAACTAGTGTGTGATAATAAGAATATGTTTACAAACTGTTAAATAACATCACAATAAATCTAGTCTAAACAAATTTTGAATATTATCTACGAAAAGGTCAAGTTGTGAGTTGATAAAATGGGGGTTCGAATAAAGACGGATATCTCAATATCCCTAGACCTCACCACCCGGTGCAGATGAGTGCGTTGTGCCGCGGCAATGATATACAGGTTACGTAAAAATGTGAAAATATCTCAAAACGTATTGAAGGGAAATATGTATAGTTGAGGCCGAAATACTAAAGGAATTAATTGTTGTTAATATCAACACGAACTTGATCGTTTTAATTTTTTGAATACGAAACGACTCATCTTGTGTAACATTAGCCGATTGATTCGAGTCCGAAATGGCTCAGAAAAATGTGGCGCCAATCGCTTAGCGCTACGGTCGAGGGTTCGAAACCCATTTAAGGAATTCGCCTTGTGACGAGGAAGCGAAAAAGCAAAATTTCATGAAATAATATATGTGATTTTATGACTGGTAATTCAAGCCAAGCATACGTTTCGTGATTCGTGGTCATGTAATTTATCTCAAAAAGTGACCCTACACGAAAGAATCTAGATATCTTTCCTAAAAAGTAATTATTAGAAAAATAATGGGGATGGAATGCAAAACTACTAACATGTGGCTAGTAAATGTATGTGTGTACATGTGGCTTGGAAATGTTTGTTAACTTAGGCGAAAATGAATAAAAATTATTACTATTTTATAAAAATATGAGCATGGGTATCTTCCTACAATGTAGTGCTAACTTGGTTTCGCCGGCTTTCATTACATCGTAAACTGGGAACGATTTTAGGAATATGCTCAACTATTTTACGAAGGAAAACATTTTTTTCTTAAATTAGGTAACCCTGTATCTCGCTCGTTTCAGAATTAGTGTTATTCATTTTTATTTCAAGATATTAAAAAGTATGTGAAATTGTCACAAAACTTTAATTACATTTTTTTCTCATTTTTTTATTTATTAAATTAATTCACTCACATAATGGTAGAGATACCAAATGAAAAAAAATAATAATGCCACTCACGAGTGCGTGGAAATGGGGTCCTGGAGCAGTAAAAATTGGCAGCATCGCAAGTGAATTCATCTTGCTCGACGCATTTTGTCAGATATATCATAAGCAGTTGAGCAGTGAGTACGAGCATTCAGTAGATACTCGCAATATGAAAATAGACGGTACGACACAACCAAATCTTTGCGTTTTCCAGTCGAAATGAAAACTGCATCATTGTTGTGTATTTTCCCCGAGTCCCTGGAGATTCAACGGAACCACAGACACCTCAGTATAATGGACGAAGGATGCGTAGTTTCCTTCCAATTTCTGCGCGGATTTGATATTAGTAACATAGTTAATAGAAGTAGCGTGGAAGCGATGAAAGCAGTTACAAAAGCCTGGGAACAGTATGAAAATTACTTTTAGAAGCAAACTAATATTCTCATTTGCAAATCGACAAAGCCTGTCCCCCAAAAAATGCTGCTGACG